TTTACTCCTAGAGGTACCCCAACATATACCATTTTGGAATCAGGCCGACACCGTGAGCAAATTAAAATCATTCTGGGCTGGATCCGGGCCCTCAATCCTGAAATGCTTGATTTAAAAAATTTTCATTACTGCGACTGTTTTCGGTGATATTTTACGTTATTATTTATTTTTTTTTTTTTTTTTTTTACGACGGATTTTTTGTACGATAACAATTTTATAACATAGAAATAAATTTGGGAATAATCGAAATTAATTGCGAAATCCAGCGAAAATCACCTATGAAATAAAAATAATTGTTTGTACGAAAGGTAAGGACCTACATACATCAAACTGTCCTTAAATTAAGTGGCGAGAGAAGAATTATCATTGAACCATTAAAAGGTAAACTTAAATATTAATGCAATATGTAAATGCAGCGATCAATTTTGAGTTCTTTTATAGTTTGTTGTTGTCTATCACATCTACTCCTCCCCTACCAATCAACAGCTCTCAACAAGAGCTAGATTAAATGCCAACCGACGAAGCGGTTTTTAAGCTAGCGTATATATATATATATATATATATATATATATATATATATATATATATATATATATATATATATATATATATATATAGTACCTACTGTAGAGCAATTATCATTGTGGTTTCATAATAGATAACAGACAGATGGGTTTTCTTTTACTCTTTTACATTAAAAAAAATATTTCTCCTTACTTTTTTGATTATTTTTGCGATAATTTTTTTTTTTTTTTTTTTTGTATGATAACAGTTTTTATAGTCTGGGAATAATCGAAATTAATTGCAAAATCCAGTAAAAGTCACCCATGAAATAAAAATAATTGTTTGTACGGAAAGCAAGCACTTACATATATCAAAATGTCCTTAAATTAAGTGGCCAGAGAAGAATTATTGTTGAACTTTTAAAAGGTAAGCTTAAATATTAATGCAATACTTAAATGCAGTGATGAATTTTGAGTTCTGTAGTTTAGTTGCCGATTGCATCTATTCCTCCCTACCTATTGTGATGAAGGCCCAATGAAGAACCATCCGCAGGAGCCAGCTGAAATATTGTCCGATAAAGCGTCTTTAAAGCTAGTATGACTAAAATTTCAGATATAACTAATATATAATAAAACCAAGATACGAAAGGAAAACTTATCTTAGCCGACGCGATTCGTCCTCTATGAAAGACCAAACGTCTCGGCTATGTGTGTGCGCGCGCGCGTGTGTGTGTGTATTCAAATGGACATTGTGTCCAATACCTAGCGGCGACCATCTGTTTCAGAAGATTGTCTTCAATCATGATACCGACTGCCGCTGTGTCACTGTGTCCATTTTTACATTTATATACGCTCTGTCCCTGAAATTGAGCACTCTTAACTATGAATATACCATATCTTAAAGCTATATTTTTCATATCATATATATATATATATATATATATATATATATTTGAATAAAAAACAGACCACGTTAAGATTCCATGTAATAAGCTCTTTCACCATAACCCCTTTAACAGGGTTCTGGATCATCAGACTTTTACTTCTAAAAGCTGAAATGAAAATGGCATTTCTGCTTTTGGAAGTAAAGTCTGATGATCCAGAACCCTGTTAGCGGGGGTGGACTGGTGAAAGAGCTTATTACATGGAATCTTAACGGGTCTGTTTTATTCAAATATATCTGCTCTGAATTTCACATTGAGCTCTCTGGATATCATCCTCCTCAGGTCTACCCATACGGATTACCTAAGTTTGCATAAACTATATATATATATATATATATATATATATATATATATATATATATATATATATATATATATGCGTGTGTGTTTGTGTCTGTGTGTGTATCTGTGTGTGTATCTCTGTGTGTATGTGTCTGTATAAAAATGGACGTTGTATTCAACATCGAGTCGCGATAGTCTGTTTCAGAAGATTGCATTCAATCTTGAAACAGACTGTCGCGGCTCGATGTTTACCTCAATGTCCATTTTTACACTTATATACGCTCTATCCCTGAAATTAAGCAATTTTAACTATACGTTCAAACTATATTTTTAACATATATATATGTGTGTGTGTGTGTGTGTGTGTGTGCGCGCGTATGTATGTGTGTGTGGCTAATAGATCTTTTGTCATGACTAACAATCTGCATAGAAGCTTTCTGCCTAGGTTGCAACTGCTACTTTCTGGGTACGTAAAGTACTCATATGACCACCCTTTTCTCTATCATTTATTGTATCATGACAGTGACAAGACATTTTTAAATCTATCTGGCGACTCAATAGAGTGTAGGAAAAAGCAGATTCATGCCTTTCTCAAGTACATGAAATTGAACACCACACTCGAAATTCGAACAATTTTTCTGCTGGCTACCACTGCACCACCACTCACCTCGCGTTCAGGTGTGCATGTCACCCACACTCATCTGTGACGTCATTTGAATTTCATTTTACGTTCGTAGACTTAGGATTACCTTTTTTTTTTCTTTCTTTTGTCACAGTTGTAGTGTGAATGTTTTCACTTCATTTCACGATCAAAATAAACAAGTACCTACATTTGACACAGCAGAGTAAAAGTAAAAAAAAAAAAAAAAATGGCGTCTTTCATATCGATCGACTATGTACATAATGTCCTGCCGTCTTCGGCTTCTTTCGCCAATGCCCGGCTTTCTCCGCTTGGTCATTCCGTGACTGGAATTCTCGATAAAAGGAGAATGTATTTTCCTTCTTCCAGTCTCCGCCCACCCCGACCGAGTTATGCTCTCATTATAAATATTTCTGAATAGCCCGCACGATTCGTATTATTACGTCCCCAGTCCCCGATGCGTACCTCTGGCCGATAACAGGAAGGCCGACAGTAGTAGTCATAGTGGTGTTGTAATTATAGAAGCGGACCGTTACGGTCTTCCATTTGAAAGATGTTATTATGGAATGCGGCTAGTAGGAATAACAGAAACAACAACAACAGCAATAATAATAATAATTACAAAAACAACAACAACAATAATAATAATAATAATAATAATAATATTTCTGACGAGAAAGTCTGTTTCTTAAGAATATTTGTCTATTGCCACTTTTCTTCCCGCCAAGTACGACATCTTGTAAAATTTAATCCGGCGTTTGTTTTCGTTTATTTTTGTGTTTTGTTGTTATGATGGCGGCTGTTATTATTCGTTGGGATTGTCGCTATCATTATGGATATCATTTTTAGCATAAAATAAATAAACTGTCATCATTAGTAACAGTATTATTAGTAGCAGTAGTAGTGGTCTACCATATTGAAGGTGAAGTGGTTGAAGCGAGTAACGCGAATTTTTATTTTTTCCTTTCTTTCCTTCTTTATTTCTTTTTGACTTCTCGCTTTTTTTTTTTTCATGGTTTATTTTTGTTCTTTTTATATTTTCTTTTATCATTTCTTTTCCTTCCTTCCTTCCTTTCCTTTCCTTCCTTCCTTCTTTCCGTCCTTCCTTGAGTTCACACTCTTTTTCTTTCTTTCTTTCTTTCTTTATTTATTTATTTATTTATTTATTTCTGATTTCTCGCTATTTTATTTTTCATGTTTTATTTACGTTTCTTTTAAATTTTCTTTTCTTGTTTTTTTTTTTCCTTTCTTCCTTCCTTCCATCTGTCTTTAATTTATTCTGTCCTTTTTTTTCTTTCTTTCTTTCTTTCTTTGGTTAATTTATATATTGTTTGAACTCATTCTTCCATTATTTTATTATGGTTATTCTTTCTTTCTTTCGAATTTTTCGCATTTTTTAAAAAAATTGTTTATAGTTTATTTTCTTTATTTTCTTTCTTTCTTTCTTACTTTCTTTCTTTCTTTCTTTCTTTCTTTCTTTCTTTCTTTCTTTCTTTCTTTCTTTCTTTCTTTCTTACAAACTTACTTCAGTCCACCCTCTTTTATTTATTTATTTTTTTTGTCTTTATTTCTTTCTTTCTGATTTCACGCTTTTTATTTTTCAGGATTTATTTATTCTTCTTTTAAATTTCATTTTCTCATTTTTTTCCTTTCTTCCTTCCTTCCTTCCGTCCTTCATTCATTCCGTTTTCTTTTTTTCTGTTGATTCTTTTTTGCTTGCTTGCTTTCTTTCTTTCTTTCTTTCTTTCTTTCGTCCTCGCTTTCAGATTTTTCGCTTTTTATTTTTCATCGTTTGGTTTTACTTTTTTAATATTTTTTTTCATTTTCTTTCTGTCCTTTCTTCAATTCGTCCCTTTTTTCTTCATTCTTCTTTCTTTCCATATTTTCTTCTTTCTTCCTTTCCGATTTCTCGTTTTCTATCTTTTATATCTTATTTTCTTACTTTTCTTTTCTTTCTTTTCTTCCATCCTCCACTCCGTCATTTTTCTTTCTTTCTTTCTTTCTTTCTTTCTTTCTTTCTTTGATACTGATTTCTGATTTATTTTTTTCATTTTCTTATTTTACAACTGTATTGCTTTTTTTTTCTTTCATGGTTTATTTTTGCTTCTTTCATATTTTATTTTCTCATTTTCTTTACGTATTATTTTTTATTATCCCTTTCCTTTTTTTTTCTTTCATTCTTTCTTTCTTTCTTTTCTATATTTCTTTATTTTCCATCTTAACTTCCTGTCTATTTATCTCTCCCCATTTCGTCTTTTTTCTTTTCAACCTTCCGTCTCCTATCGTATGCCCTTTCATTCGCATTTTTCTTTCATATGTTTTTCTTATTTCGATATCTTTCTTATACTTATTTCTTTCACGTGTTCTTTTGCTAATTATTCCTTTCTTTTTCTTCTTTTACAACCATTTCCTGATTCTTTCTCTTCTTTCTGTGCTTTCCTTTCCTTCGACTTTTTTTTTTATTTTCTTCTCGCTTTGGTTCAATTTGATTTCAGTGGTCACTGTTTGCAAACTCAAAGCTCGCATTAAAATTATTGATTGTCACCATTTATTAGCTTTATTGCAATCATCGTCATCCGTCATCATCGTCATGATGAACACAAACAGTTCTGCGTAGAACTCTCATCTTCCTTAGCATTCAAACATAATGCTCTGTGGATAACTATCATCATAATCATCATCAGCAGCAAGAAGAAACCATTCCTTTGCAACGTCATCATCATCATCAAGAAGAAACCATTCCTTTGCAACGTCATCATCATCATCATGAAGAAACCATTCCTTTAGAACATCATCATCATCAAAGAAGCGTTTCTGAGAAGCACAATCATCAACATTATCCCCACCATCTTCCTCATGAAGACAAACAGTTCTACGTAGAACTCTCATCTTCCTTATCATCCAAACATATAGCTCTGTGCGTAACAATTATCATCATCATCATCATCAAGAACGTCATCATCATTATCAAGAAGAAACCATTCCTTTGCAACGTCATCATCATTATCAAGAAGAAACCATTCCTTTGCAACGTCATCATCATTATCAAGAAGAAACCATTGCTTTGGAACGTCATCATCATTATCAAGAAGAAACCATTCCTTTGCAACGTCATCATCATCATCAAGAAGAAACCATTCCTTTGCAACGTCATCATCATTATCAAGAAGAAACCATTCCTTTGCAACGTCATCATCATCATCAAGAAGAAACCATTGCTTTGGAACGTCATCATCATCATCAAGAAGAAACCATTGCTTTGGAACGTCATCATCATCATCAAGAAGAAACCATTGCTTTGGAACGTCATCATCATTATCAAGAAGAAACCATTGCTTTGGAACGTCATCATCATCCTCAAGAAGAAACCACTCATTTGCAACGTCATCATCATCATCATCACGAAGAAACCATTGCTTTGGAACGTCATCATCATTATCAAGAAGAAACCATTGCTTTGGAACGTCATCATCATTATCAAGAAGAAACCATTCCTTTGCAACGTCATCATCATTATCAAGAAGAAACCATTCCGTTGAAACGTCATCATCATCATCAAGAAGAAACCATTCCTTTGCAACGTCATCATCATTATCAAGAAGAAACCATTCCTTTGCAACGTCATCATCATCATCAAGAAGAAACCATTGCTTTGGAACGTCATCATCATCAAAGAAGCGTTTCTGAGAAGCACTATCATCAACATTATCCCCACCATCTTCATCATGAAGACAAACAGTTCTACGTAGAACTCTCATTATCATTAAAACGTATAGCTCTATCAGTAACTATCATTTTCCTCCTCCTCCTCCTCATCATCATCATCATCAAGGAGGAACAATTCTATTGGAGTATTAGCATTATCATCATCATGATCATGAAGATAAACATTTCTAAAAAGGATCAACATCACCACCAAGAAGACAAACATGTCTGCTAGCATCATCATCACCTACACCACCACCACCATCATCACTATCATCATCATCATCATCATCATCATCAATATAAGCATTATAAGAAGCACTATCATCATCATCATCATCTTCATCAGGATATACATTATTAAATAACACTATCATTATTATCATCGTTATGAAGACAAACATCACAGCATTGGGGGGAGAAAGTCTACCTCATTCATCACATGTAAATTTCGGGATCAACGCACTGCCCTTTTTTCGCTGCACGCCTGACGTTTGCCCAACTCATTGAATGTTCTTGGAAGATGGTAGTGATTTCATCAAACATGGCACGTGGAACTAGAACAGTCTACCCCAGTGAGCGAAATAAAGGGTTCAGTTCGACATTCCAACCACCTGAAGAAGGCCGGAGCGTACAACGGCCGAAACGTTGGGACAAATATGGCGACAAAGATGAGGACAATAGTCCGACTAATGTAAATACTAAAATATATTCGCATTCAATTACAGCCTTAAGGAGAAATGCACAGTTGTTTATAGAGTGCTACGGAAGGATTGACACAAATACACACCCCGAAAATATATATATACATAATAGCATACATAAAAGAGTATTTAATGCGGATTATTATGGAATGACAATGGTTCGAAATTAAATAATGCCAATAATGATAATCCCTCATCCCAGAAATTCAGGCAGAAGGCGATCAGGTGATAATAACAACAAAGATAAGGACAATAGTCTGAAATCTAAACAATGAAGATAATGATATCTCCTCAACTCATAAATGCAGGCAGAAGGCGATCAGGTAATAATAACAACAAAGACGAGGATATTAGTCTGAATATAAATAATGATAATCTCTCATCCCAGAAATGCAGACAGAAGTTGATCAAGTGTTAATCTGCACATAAATAATAATAAGCCTACATCTGAGCATTTCAGTCAGTAGGCATGTAGGTGATATTCAATGTTACATGCTGACAATTATGAAAAATTAAAAATCGATCCAAAATGTTTCAATATTTACATATGCAATATGAAGTGTGCGCTAAACTTAGTTTAAATTCATACGTATACCGATATGTCTATAATAAAATATGCACTTCTTATATGCACAAACGGCATGCATATATATATGAAAATAAACGACAAAACACTGCAGGTGCATACGGACAATTTAGATATATCCTCCAAGTAGCCATGTTAACAAAATGTATCAATCACTCTTTCTGCTAATTTAACTTCCAACCAAGGTAATAGAGCCACTAAGACTCTAGGGGTTATTTAGTGCGAGAGAATAAGAGGAAAAGAAAACACTATTAAGGAGAGAGAACAATGAAAGAACGGGACTTATTTTTTTTAACCATTTCACCCCAAGCAAGGCAATAAAGCCACTAAGACGCAAGGGGCTACTGTGTGTCAGAGAATATGAGAAAAAGAAAACATTATTAAAGAGAGAGAACAATAAAAGAATAGAAATTACTTTTTTTAATCATTTTGCCCCAAGGAAGGCAATAAAGCCACTAAGACGCAAGGAGCTACCGAGTGTGAGAGAATGTGGGAAAAAGAAAACATTATTACGGAGAGAGAACAATAAAAAACAGGACTCATTTTTTTAATCATTTCGCCATTTTGGGAAAAAGAAAACATTATTAAGAAGGACAGGTATTAAGAAGAGAGAAGACAAAGAATGATATTGCATTTAAATTTTTGAAGATCAAAATTGACTAGGAAGCAAGAAACGTGTTCCACAAACGATAAATTTAACAGAAGAAACTTCCAACATAGAACTTGCGGTTGCATCTAGCTATTTCAACTGTAAAATGATGAAACCTTGCCGTCAAAATAGTACTACGTTTAAATTCATAAAATCCAGGTACCAAAGAGGATAGCTCATCAGAACTATTACGGCTTTACAGTAATATCGCGTTGAAATACCGGTTCTGATCATCGAAGTTAAGATACGTCAAGACTGCTCAGTACTTAGATGGGTGACCACTTGGAAATACCAGGTGCTGTAAGCTTGGATGTGAGGGTGGTGTAATGGATAATGGCTCGGAATTGTTAATCGGAGAGCAGAGTTCCAATTCCAGTCAGGTTCGTTATATTCAAATAACCTTGGGGAAATTGAATCCACCTCTTATCTCCTCCTATCTATGAATTAATTCCTAGGTCGATAAGTAAATCATTTTTATCTTAAAATATATATATATATATATATATATATATATATATATATATATATATATATATATAATCTAAAAATATTTCTAGCTTTTAATAACCGGCAAGGATTGATAAGCCGTAAAAAACAAATTAGCTAAATCAGAAAGCAATGAAAATACTTCGGGAAAGGTCACAGGGGAGCTACGTATGATGGGAGAAAAATTAACTGAAGCCGAGATGCCATGTCAAGATCAATAACATAACAGATTCTTTCTCTCTGTCCTTGATAAATCTCGTTCTTTTAATTGTGTGTATCAAATGCAAATGTCGGTGCGATTAAATCATTTCCTTAATGATTCTTATCCACCGGCATGGTGTTTAATTAGTGAGATGAAATGCCTGAGGAAAGCATTGAACAAGACGAGGCAAGACAAGATCAGGAATGAGGCAATAAGAGATATGGTAGGAGCAATACCAATCATACAACAACACGTCGAATGACAGAGCAAGTGGTTCGAACACCTCACGCGTCTGCTTATCAACCAACCAGCCCCACGAGCATATACCCTCAGGTACTCTGGAGAGCGAGCGGCAGACCAAGAAAACGCTGGAGCAATTCAATGGCAGATACTCTCCGAGCCCACGAGATATCTCTCCTCTAGGCCACTCGCCTTGCCGCTGACAGACGACTGTGTCACACCGCGACGCCTAACAGCACAAGCGGGAGAAAAAAATCTAAAACTAACTAAATATTATCATTTTTCAAATATATATATATATATATATTTTTTACTGTGGTATGGTCAATTTCTTTCTAGTTTAGAAAAAAATTTAGAATTAAAAAAAACAAAAAAAAAATCCCCACGGGGTGTTTATTCGAACAGTCCCGCTTATTTGATGGGCTATAAAACATACCTACCGGAATTCCAATTGCAGATGTCACTAGGTACTTGAAATTTGGTGCAAATGGAACAGAATTCGAATAGAGTATCGATATATGTTGCAGCAACATCGATATATTTGCGCTACTCTATCGCAAAATATATAGACATAGAAAATCGATGACATTGTCTGCACATACGCGCGCGGATACACACGCTCACAAAGGTAGAGTGGGATAGAACGAACGAGACTCACTCGAAAGCTGACGTGTCAACCAGGGGGTGCTGAAAAGTTCTAGCTCCGTTCCATTTAACATTAACGTCAGTATTCCCATGATCAAGCATCATAAGAATAATTTTGGGTCGTGAACTGAGACGAGTATATTTCACCACCCTTGATCTCTTCCCTGTCAATATTTCGATATATCTCTTTATAAAGATGTATATTAATATATCTCTTTCTATTCAAATTATGTATACCTATTTTTCTTCTCTCCCTTTCTCGATTAAATTATCCCTTTTAAAATACATAATTATCATCTCTCCCTTCCCCGAATTTAAACCTACCTCCTTAAACAAATGTGTGCATAAATTAAAAATTAATAATATGAAATTTTGTTGCTGCCTGAAAAAATGTGTTATCCATTTAATTCTATGGAAATGAACAGTCTGATAAATTAGCATCGAAATTCCGATTCTAAGGAAATAAATTATAACTATGTACTCTTAAAGTTGGCTTTTTCTTAATAATGTTTGTTCCATTTTTACATTGAGCTCTCTGGATTATGTCCTCTTTGGAAATATCTATACGGATTAACAAGTAATCATTAACTATATATATATATATATATATATATATATATATATATATATATATATATATATATATATATATATATAAAAAAGGCTCAAACACTAATATTCAATGGTTATAATCTATTACATTGGAATCGTAATCACGATCAAATTCATCAGATCTACAAATTCAAAAAGAAATCCGAAAATATAACTCCGGGTATAAAAAGAAAATTTTAGTGAGAGTGTATGTGTGTGAGAGGGAAATGTATGAAATCTCTAGAGAGAGGTGTAACAGAAGAAAGAAGAAAAGGAAAGGCCTAAAGGTGAAGGCGGGGATTAAAATTTAACAGAGAGAAGTTTTAAAGAGAGGAGTTAAATAACGGTTTAAATGTATGAGATACAGATAAATATGAATTATTTTCAGATGCATAATTCACTACCGATTCGCTGACCTAAAATTAAAATTAAAAAACAGACACCAGAAACGTATGGATACATTTGTGGTGACATTACGTGGAATAAAAAACGATATGATCTAAATTTAAAATCCAGCCAATTCATACAGCCGATGTATATGTGAAAATTTTCTGTCTGCTTTGCATTACTAACCTTATGTATACAAGAACAGAGATGATGAGAGAGAGAGGGAAAAAATATATTCTTACTCGTCCGAGATATTGAGTTCTACCTGGATTCTATCCACTTGGGAATTTATATATATATATATATATATATATATATATATATATATATATATATATATATAATAAAGTATTTAAAATAGAGATTTTGAAAACAATAAGTTGAAATAAAAATGTGTTCTTTGAAAAACAGGGCATGCAAGTGATTAGAGGTTTTTAAAAGATTATATATAAAATTAAAGCAAGAAATACATTGCCTATTAAGTGTGTCTCCAGCTCAGATAGGGCACAAGCCTACGCAACCCGACTAGTCGAGTTAATTTTATTTCATTCATACTCGTTTTTTTTTTCGTAGTTTCTACTTTACTATGAACAATGGCAACAAAGGCCCGGTGTTACAACAATTAATCTTGGATCCAGTTGAAGTCAAGAATGAAAATGACTCACGACGAAAGATTTTTGTTGCTTTAAAATAGACATAATTAAATGTTCATTTTTAATCAGCGGAGCGTGTTGCATGCGTATTTCTATAAAAAAAAATTGCATCACACTATTTAATTAGTTTTTTATCTTAGCAATTCACTCCTGAAGATGATCTTGGATAAGATTGAAAGTACATGGGAAAATGAAAGAAATAATCCAAACTACGGCAACTTCTTTAATGTGTTTAATGGCAACATTAAGAAATTGATCCGTGAATTTGAAAGGGTAAAATTTAAAATAAATAGACATAATATTTCTACATTATTCATTCAAACATAACGATCTCTCTTTCTCTCTCTATATATATATATGTATAGCTTACAGATTCAAGTGCCCTTTGGGAGATTGTATCTCCAATGGATTAAATAATATTTATGTCGGTCACAGCACAAACTCGCTTTCACGTCGCTTGACTCTACATTTGAATGATAACTCTAATTTTTTTAAGCATTTAAAACATGTCTGGCCACATACACAATTTCGGAAAATCCTCGTTGAAAACACAATTATACATAAACATGAAAACAATAAACTAAAACTCTTGAAGCTATATACATAAAACAGTTGAAACCTAACCTGAACTAAATAAATTACGAAATCTCCAACGGCTTTCCAGACTTAATAATTCTCGTTTTCACTCTCGCGTGGTCATGTGTAACGTCACGAGCTGTGATGCGATTTTCGCTTCCGCGTCACGTATACACGAGTTTGTCGGTGTTTGGAAATCTTTCATGCAACAAAACAAACTATCATTATTGTTTTGTCCGTGTATTTTTTAATATATTAAAATGTAATTTTCAACTTTGATAATGGCTTATGTAAGCCGAAAGCTTAGATAGGATTAAAAATATGTATCAATATGGTGTTTTTCTTTCATCTTTCAATGATAATGTTATTAAGCTTATCAGACAATATGAAAGGAGTTTATTTAAAATAAATAGACTAAACGAGTCTATATTATTTGATATGACATGCATCAATGAAAAATGTTGCCTAAACACACACACAATATATATATATATATATATATATATATATATATATATATATATTTTTACCCTAATGAAATAAATTATTACTTCATGAAGTTTAGTGTTTGTGCCTTTTTAATATATATATATATATATATATATATATATATATATAATTAAAACAAAATATATAATTAAAACAAAATGCAAATAAATTTGATTGAATGATTTATTTTGTTTTTCAGTTCGTATTAAATTTTTGTAGAGGAAATTTTTATTTGGTAAAAAAATAACTACGAAAAAACAGTTCAAACAAAAGCTTATGGTAAAATTTAATTTCAACAAAAACAGACGACACTAGCCGAGTTTAAAAATATACGATAAATTTACTAACACACAAAATAATGAATGAATTATACAAATTAAATACATTGGATGGTCAATAACATGTATATAAATTATCAATGGAAATGAAATTTGTCCTTTTTGCAATCCAAATTATAATGCTGTATAAGGTTCTCAGAAAAGAAAACTAAAATGTAGAAAAGGAGAAAATACTTTCCTGAATAGATTTCAAAGAATTGATTCAATTTTCAAAGTAATGTTCACGGTAACAGCGAAGAATAGAACAATCACTCCAGCCGAAGACATTGTGGCGGACCGTGGATTTAATATGCGTTGTGAAACGAACACGTGTGGTCTCCTGAAATAAAGTCCACTACAAACATGGCGGATTCAAGATGAGTCGACCCAAAAGAAATCAACCAAGTACCGATATATATATATATATATATATATATATATATATATATTATAAATTAATTGATTTAAAATATGTTTTTTTGCTACACAGTTCTAACCATGTTTCAAAAATGGAAGCTGAAACATGGTTAGAACTGTGTATATTTTCTATATTTAAATCAATTAATTTATAATATTAATGCTCTGTAAATTTACATTGAGCACTATTTTGTAAAAATAAAAATATCTATAAGAACACCGGATTATATATCTTACTGTTCTTTCTTTATATTATATATATATATATATATATATATATATATATATATATATATGATAGAAATCATTAGGAGGATTTGATAATTATATTTAAGTAATTCATTGAGTCTGATAGAAATCTCAACAGAATGCAGAAAGCACTGGACGGCCGTTTCGTCCTATATTTGGGACTCATCAGCAGTGCGCATCCACTACCGAGAATTGAAACCCTGACAGTTAGGTTGTCAAGCAAACATCATACCAATGGGCCTCGGTGACGAAGAGATTGCAAGAGATTGCAAATCAGAGTCAACAAAGCGCCGCTCGCTCACATATTCCGTGGTGGAACTCTACTGAGTCTTCTGTAACCATAGGACTGTGCCCCCTGGAGCCACGACTACAATATATATGTATATATATACACACACACACACAGACAAATTACAAATTATTTTGGGGTAGCGCCCCCTAGGAACAATTTCGGCAAATTAAGAAATTAAGGAGGAGTTAACTCCGACAACATTTCCTTGATGTGGAAGTGACTTTCATTTCTCGTCTGGTGGTTGTCAAATTTCTTCTGTATTATTTTTCTTTTTTTTTCTTTTTGAACCAGGACGACATGGGGTACATCAGCAGACGTTCGTTGACTCCTCTTAATAAATTCTAAGGCCCCGCTTTTATTGCCTACAAGTAGGCTCCAAATTTACTTCTGATGAATTTGTAGGGAAAACATTTTGATTGATTCTGGATAAAAAACAACAAACGCAGCTGTTTTCCCACAATTCAAAATATACCAAAAATATTTTTTTTTTAAATTCAGAAATAAAGAAAGTGGCCAACGAAACGTCTGCTTTCTCTCAGAAAAGCAGACGAGAAACGATCAAGCAGCTTAAATTTCTTATATTTGAGTTTATTTAAAGCCGAAAGCCTCTTAATGAATGGAAAATGTTTCTTTATAAAGAAACGGCTAATATTCCCATTACCCTTAGAGATAAGGAGAACAGATACTACACTATGATCTTAGCCCGATGACCAAGGAATGAAAAAATGTGTAACTGACGTTGCACTGGCTGCTCAGTCAATGAATGCTGAATGTTTCCTTATAAGGAAACGGCTAATATTACCATTACCATTGCACACATCTGCTACCGCATTAGTAACTACAGGTAAAAAAAATAAACAAAAATAGCGCGTTAGTTTGCATTTTTCTGCCTTTGAGGGGCCTAGGACAAGGATGACAGAATTAGCAGTTCTGCCAGGATTCATTATTGGCGGACACAATCTTAACAATATCAGATATGCAAATGACACAAGCAGACACAGAATTTAAACCACATGAACCCTTACCGGATGTAATAATGGAAAGCGAGAAGAAAGGACTAAATTTTGTAAGAAAACAAAATGTATTCTTGTCAAAAATCGAACAACACCAGGCTTGGTTTGGTTTATATATATATATATATATATATATATATATATATATATATAGATAGATAGATAGAGAGAGAGAGAGAGAGAGAGAGTAAGTGAAAAAATCCGTTGGTATCTAATTGCTATTAAACATATCTCGTTAAAAATGGACTTTGGATAATTTATTCACATGCAACTATATTTGCAAAAAGTACGTTCGTACTTTAGAAAATGATTATCAAATTGAATCTATTGATCTATCTATTTATCTATCTCTCTATCTCTATCTCTCTTTCTCCTTATATATATATATATATATATATATATATATATATATATATATATATATATATATATATATATACATATTTTAACATTTTAAATTTTAGCAATATATTGAGCACTTTTTAAAAATACGAATGAATATATATATATATATATATATATATGGGTATGATCAAAAATATACATATACTCACATATACTTGCACGTACGTATAATATATTTCTTGTTCTGGTGTCATAAATACTGTCCTTAATGTTATGTGACAGGGCTATAGATATATATTATTGAATATACATAATATTCAACGTCGATAACACGACTTGGAGTTTCATGCAATTTTTACAATCTTAAGTGCGGAGAATATTTTGACCTTTATTGAGATAGCGTTCTTGTGGTGATGATTCATAATTGTGTGTTTATTTAATTATTGCTGTCGACATTATTAAAATTAATCATTAATAATTTATATCATTCAAATTCATAAGCTTGAAAGACGAAGAAGTAAATAAACTACTGCATGAATCTCCGAGTTGGCCTACCAACGTAGGATATTATGTATATTCACTAACTAATATATATATATATATATATATATATATATATATATATATATATATATATAGATAGATAGATAGATAGTTTGATAGATAGATAACTTTACTGTCTGTCTCTCTATTTATCTCAGTCACTATAAATCCATCTATCTTATTTTATTCATATCTGTCTGTCTGTCTATCTATCTATCTATCTCAGCGTCATTTCTATCAACCTACCTATCTATGTCATTCTATTCATATCTATCTATCTATCTATCTATCTATCTATCTATCTATCTATCTATCTATCTATCTATCTCATTCTATTCATATCTATCTATCTATCTATCTATCTATCTTATTCTATTCATATCTTTCAATCGGTCTATGTCAACCTCTTCCCTATCTATCTTTCTATATGCAACCTCTTCTCTCCCTAACCATCTCTCTCTCTCTCTCTCTCTCTTTCCATCTATCTATTTCATTCTATTCATATCTATCTATCTATCTATCTATCTATCTATCTATCTATCTATGTCAACCTCTTCTCTATCTATCTTTCTATATGCAACCTCTTCTCTCCTTACCCCTCTCTCTCTCTCTCTCTGTCTTTCCATCTATCTATTTCATTCTATTCATATCTATCTATCTATCTATCTATCTATCTATCTATCTATCTATCATATACTATTCATTATTTATCGATCTATCTCAATCTTTCCTTTCCTTTTCTCTCTATTTCTTGCTCTTTATTTTTTGTTTCTCTTTTTCTTTCTTCTCTTTCTTTTCCACCTGGCCTCTGTCTATCAGTCTATCTTCCTCATTTCACTCACCTCTCATGATTTGTTTCTACTTTCATTCGTCCATATCTATCTTTCTCTCTCTCTCATTCTCTCTTTTCTCTCCCTCTCTCCCACTCCCTCTCCTCCCCCCTCTCTCTCCTTTTCTCACTTTCTTCCTCATTCATTCTCGCTCGAATATATATTTGGAGACCACGATCATTTCACCTTATTAAGCGCACATTTCAAGCAAACAAATTCGCGCTGA